CCATCAACTTCCGGCTGGTTTTCGACCAGCTAAAGAAATTTTGACAAATGAAGATGCAGCTACAGTGAAAGTAGATAAAGATGAAACAGAAGTTGCAGTTCAACCACAAAATTCATTAGGTATTTTCAGCAAGAAAAAACTGTATTAACTGTTTCTAATATTCTGCCAACCCTGTGTTTCTTTTTCGGCTTTCCTAGAATCTCAAATACCAAGTTTGAAAATACTGTACCTTATACTTAACAAAATTTTAAAACCAATGTATTCATAAACTTAGTAAATTTAAATTAAAAAATTTTTTGTCTAAAGAAAAAAACTAGCAAAACAGCTTTATAAAGGTATAATTTAAGAACCTGAGTCAACTGAAACATCACCATCGGATCAGAATAAAGAAACCACAGCACCAACACCCACTTCAGAAAGTTAGTGATGCTTTTTTAGAATAAAAATAATGGTTTAAAATTGCAGTAATCTTAAAATTAAATATTAACTGTTAACTGTTTATCTTGATAATTAAAATTTTAGACTTGATTCACGATTCAATAACCGAAAGTTCATCACCAGCACCAGTTCCAATGGTAGACAAGAATGTTGACTTAGACGGTGACGGAGCACTAAGTCTAGCTGAAGTACAATATGCAGCTTTTGTTCATCATGGGCTTCCAAGTTCTGTTGTCGAGGAACTTTTTAAAGAGGTATTGCACATTTTACAGTGATTTACTAGTGCTCTAGGTGATTTACTAGTGCAACTTAGTAATTCTGCTTTTAACTTATTCAAAACTAATAAAAAGAGCTTCTTTAAATACCTAAACTTCAGGTAGACAAAAATAAAGATGGTTATTTGACGGCATTAGAATTCAACGATATTCGGCCACTAGTTCTCGCAAAAGCTGAGAATGCAGCACTAAGATATTTGCAAGTAAGAATATATAATTTAAATAATTTGGAAAAGAAAAGGGTCATTTCAATTTGCCGTAGTCAAAGTTTCGCAAGAATTAGTTTTATTAATTTTTGATTCCTTTTTGTTATAATTGCATTATTTTGTTAGATTTTCAGTGTATTATCAAAGTACAAAAACAAATGTTTGTTTTTCACACAAAACGTAATTGGTCTACGAAAAAAGAACCAGACTAACACTTAAACCAATTGATTATTCTATTATTATCAGTTAACTAATAACAACTAAATTAGACTTTTCTATATATTTTGTTTATAAAAACAATTTTTTATTTCACAACTTTTCAGGTTGTTGACACCGATAAAAATGGCTTATTGTCATTGAAAGAGGCGCAGGCATATATTTTAACAGAGTACGGAATTGGAAACAAAGATGTGGAACGGGTCTGGAAGTTGGTGATGCCAAATGGGAATAGTGAAATGGATGCAGTTACGTTCAGCAAACTTCGCAGACGTATTCGTGGAATGAGCATCAGACTGGCTAGGCAGATCATGAAGGTCAGAACCTTGTAATTGCATTTAATTTTGGTCTAATTAGTGATTCCAACATCAGTTTTGATCAGTTACTTTTTTCTTTGCTCTTTTTGCCTTTCACACTCTCAAACATTCTCACCTCTCACTTACAGTTAAAAAAAAAAGCTTTTAACGCAGTAAACGTTAAACCGATAAAATCTGCAGGCCGCCGACAAAAATGAGGATGGACATATCGATGCAAAAGAAGCCCAACAAGTTGCATTCGAACAAGAAGGCTTAGGTGCAGCTGAGGTACACGATATGATTGCATCTGTTGACGACAATAACGATGGTGAACTAAATGCACCAGAATTTGCAGATTTTGAAAGAATTCTGAGAGCCAAAGGAGTTGACATTGCACGACGAGCACTAAAGGTACTATAGTTGCTGTTTTGCTCCTAAAACTTTAATCAACGTTCCGTAACAAAAAAAATAAGCATGCTTGAAGAATAAGATACTAGATTAAGAGAACGACGAAAATCTAGTCTGAATTCTAGAATATCTAAAAAAAACTTTCAAAAAGTGTTCCTAAACTTTCACTAATCTTCGTTAGATAACATTAGATACTATAGAAAAGTAAAACTTTCAGTGGACTCTTGTAACAAATGTTTATTTCAAAAAATTCTCTAATTTAAAGAATTTTTTTCGATTAATCAAATAATTTTTTACAATATTACATTTGAAACAATCGCTGTAGTTAACTATTCAACATTTTTACAAAACTATAATTTTAAGAATATCACATCGAGTTCGTTAATGTCATTCAAACGAAAAAAAGTTTTAGATTCCGCTGTGGAATTAAAACAATTTTTTGGACATCAGTATATCAGTACACACAGAATTACTAGGTTTTTTAAAAAATTAATAAAATGTTGTTGTACTCACTTAGATAAAACCTTTCAGCGACACCAGAGCAATTGTTGAGATGAACTTTTATAATTTGTGCTGCTGTTTATTACACGTTGGAAATTTTGATAAAACAGAAAAGAAAAAAACCTATTTTTTTTTCGAATACATCAATCGTTGACCATTTTAAGGGAACAAAAGCCACAGTCCCAAGAAAACAGTTTTCTTATTTTTTCTTCTTTAACGATCAATCACAATGAACTGATCTTATAAGCACTTCAGTGTATCTCATCCTTCACTATTTTATGCTTTTTCTAAGTTTGGTACCAATTATCGTTTAAGCTTTAAAATAACAACGCTAAAAGCACACTTAAGACGCTGTAGTAAAACAAAAATAAACCAAAGTAAAAAACTTTCTTTTAGTTTTAAATTTGTATTGGCTTCATGTTGCTCAAAACCTGTTTCAAACAAATCCTTAAATACTGTGTGATAAAACTTTTTTTATTCAAAAAAACGGATATAGAAAAAGTTTTGAATTAAAAACAACAGAAGAATTTAGTATATTTTAATTTAAAAAATGTTTATGGTTTAGTGTATCAGTCACTAAATCTCTTTGTTAAAACGGATTGTTTTCTAATTCTATAGCTTCTTCGTTCGTCTTCTTCTGTTTTACTTTTGCCTTGTCTCTTAAAAAAACAAAAAAAAAATTGGACTTGCAAAGGTTCATCGTGATCGCTTTGGTGATTTAATAAACTGCCAGGACGCAGATAGCAATCTACAATAAAAAAAAGACAGTTTTTGTTTTTTTATTCTTTATAAAGATAGACTTCTACCTTAGGTTGTCGATAAAGATGGTTCCGGTTATCTGACTATGGATGAAGCAAAACGTATTGCCTTTGAACACTACGGTTTTGACGAAAAAACGTTGAGTCCGTTCTTTAGCCAAGCAGACGAAAATGAAGATGCACAATTAGACGCCGTTGAATTTGCTGGCTTTAGATCTGTAATCCGAAGTAAAGCAGTCAAAAATGCTGCTATAGCTATGCAGGTGCTTTTTTACCAACGACAAACATTTTTCAGTCATTTAAGCGCAAAGTTTGCGGAAATTTAGTGCTTTATAGTTGGTCTTAAATTAACATAGATGATTTGACTGCTAGACGATAACCAATATGTCATGATTTCAATGAAGAGTTTAATAACAGTGTGTATCTATACAATTTTTAGGAAATGGATACAGATGGAGATGGCTTGATCAGTGGGTCAGAAGGTGTTAGCATGACTAGGAAGCAGGATGATATGGACGCCAAAGAAACGTATAATTTGTTCAATCTTGCAGACCAAGTTGGTTCAATTTCTTTCCGTTGTTAAATCTTGATTTTTTTCATTCTGAGCTAATTCTAACAAACAAAAAAAACGGTTTTTTTTATTATCATGTATCGTTTATTTTTTTTTTCAGGATAAAAGCGGAAAATTAGACAAAGTTGAATTAGCAGATTTCTTGAGACTTGTACGGCTCAGTGCCATCAAATTTGCTACTGATCACTTCAGGGTCGGTTTTTCACCAGTTTAATAACAATGATTATTTTGCAACATGAGACATACAAAATATTTCACTGTTTGTTACACTGTCACAAAATACAATTCCCAATTTGATATTCTCAAGTGTAGACTGTCAACTGATTTCAATTCATAGATTTTGCAAAAATTACATCTATATGTCTTCCCAGGAATTCGACGTAAACAAAGACAAAATTGTTACCGTCGATGAGCTGGAATCATCAATAGAACACAAATACAATGTGGATCCCAAAGTAACCAAGCAGTTCTTTGAAAAAGTTGATATTGACGGTTCAGGCGATTTAAGCCCGGGTGAAATTGTCGATTTTAGGTAAAACTGATACTTGCATAGTAATATAGCTATTTATTTAAAATATCAAAAAACTTGTATAATTATCAAGCAAGAAGAAAAAACTGCTGTTTTTTAGACATGAAATAAGACGATATGTTGCGGAACGTGATTCACAACAAGAATTAGCAAAGATGAAACAAGAGGAATTAGAAGAGCATTTAGTTGGCGATAAAACTGCATCTACAGCTGCTGCTGATTCCGGGAACAAACGTGTTGATGACACTACCAACAAAGTTGCTTCAGATAATCAAAAGAGTGTTGTAACTAAGAAATCCGATGAACAACGAACCATTGTTGAAACAGATGAACTTCGAAAACAAGAAGAAATTGCCCGTAGAAGACAAATGATGCTACAGGTGTTGTGTTCAATGATGTTATTTCAGCGTAACATTAATTTTACTGCATTTTAAGCAGTTTTTTGCGAATTGAAGTGTGAAATTTTAGCAAAATGCCGACTCAAAGACAGAGGAATTAGAAGCAAAAGAAAAACTTGATCACAATGAACAAACCGTTAACCCCGAAGGTGAAAAGAGAGCAGTTAAGATGAAATCTAAATCAAACCCTCAACCGGCAGTTGATCAGGTCTAATACCCGTATTCATTGTTTTCCTCTTGCAAAAATCAAAATCATTTTAATTTATCAGCAATAGTATTTTAGACAGCTGAAATGACACCAGCCGGTGCTAAAGACGACGCTGTTGATACAGCCGATGAGACGTCGTCAGCAGTAAATAAAGAAGAGTCTACTGGAACAACAACTGAAATAGACAGTAAAAGTGGTAGTACAGCCGAGGTAGGTAGTCTTAAGCACCGATAATAAAAACTTCAAATAATGACGTCTAAAGTAAAAAAATTTGTTCATACCTTATAAAAACTTCAGCAGAAACAGCTGTAAAGCAGAAAAAGAAAATTTTTTATTATTATTTTTTTCAGTTCTTCTTATCACCTCTTCATAATATAATTGTTACTTAGCTTCTATTATGTGCTATTTTTCAGTCTAAAGTTGTTCTTAATGAGGTAAAAACAATTGGTGAAGAGAGCCAAAAACAACAGCCACAGCCTGCATCACCATCGTCACAGCAGCAAACACAAGACGGTAACCACTATTTTCTCCAAATTTTCTGGTATTTACAACTCTCTAAAAAAGTATAATTGGTTAACCTATAACACTTTACCAAATAACAAAAGCAAGCAAAAAACTACCCATAATTAGTTTCTAATTACAACAACATCAACACAAATACAAATACATAGAAACGCCTCTGCTGTAGTTTATACTGCTTATTATTTAATAACTTTATTGGTGATAGCCAATACCACATTTTACGGTAAAAAAATCTATAT